TCTGGCCGTTAAACATTTTAAAAATGTTAATCACGTTTTAAACAGTTCCAATTAGTAAAAATAAAAATATTAAGGGCTCATTAATCCGGAGCTGCATTCGTGTCCGCAGGTCGTGTGCGCGCTTTAAACAGTTCCAATTAGTAAAAATAAAAATATTAAGGGCTATTTAATCCGGAGCTGCATTCGTGTCCGCAAGTCGTGTGCGTGCGCGCGCGCTTTAAACAGTTCCAATTAGTAAAAATAAAAATATTAAGGGCTATTTAATCCGGAGCTGCATTCGTGTTCGCAAGTCGTGTGCGTGCGCGCGCCACCCGACCCGAACCCGAGCCCGGCCCGGCCGGCGCGCGCGTGTGTAGTGTGGAGCATAACCTTTTGTTTTCTTCTAGGCATAGGAGAGAAAGGGAAGGCTTATAAAGACTCTTCCTTCCTATTCTATTTCCTATGTGGGACTAAACTTTTCCTCTTTTCCTCTACAAACCCAAGTTTTTAAGTTATAGCTCCAACAAGTATTAGCTACTTTTTACTGCCAATAAATCTCAGGCTCCGACCTATTTCTCAAAAGAATCAAACCCGTAACTAAATTTAAAGATAATCAGATAAATGAAAATTGAACTAATTCTTATTTGTTCTGTCAAAATCCTGAGGCCAAGCAGAAGGAGTGAATTGTCAACAGTTGTAATATAGTTAGTGAATACTAATTCTTTGAGTAATATTTAATTTTTCATTTTACCCTTTTTAGGTGACACCAAACATAGGCCTTCAATTGGTAATAGTTGAAGCAATAATGACATTCAATGCATGAATCTATTAATCAAACTGTTCTTTTTGGATTTTAGTTGACGGGGCAGTGAATGATTCCTCTAACATTCAAACGGCAGAGGAGCTGTTAGGTAAAACCTTTCAATTTGTGTACTTGGGTGCATTGATGCGTGTCTTTTTTTTCCAATTTGGTCCTTGTATTTTTTTTTTTCCTCTCAACTTAGCCACTGTACTCGCTGTTGGATGAAAAATTAACTTAGTTCCATTTTAACTCCTCGTTAAAAATTCCGTTAAATATAACTTGAAAGGACAATGCTGCCCCTAGCCTAATCATTTCCCTCAAAAATTGGTTACATATCCATTGTAAACTTCAATAACTGAGAATGTGAACAAATAGGATCCCACTTCAAAAGAATCATTTAATTCTAGAATTACATGCTAATGGAGAACAAAAGCACAAATGTCTCCATGCACTCACTAGATACCTACCGTAGAATTAGGGTGATTTTAATAAATTAATTAGATTTAGAGAAGAGAACACAAGAGGGCTCCATTATGACTAAGTTTCAACCACAAGCCACCTAAAAACAGAATCATATGCTTCCTCCAACTTCTCCTGCCTCCCAACTTTTTTGACCCTGTTTCATAAAACTTAATTAAAACGGTTTGAGCCTTCTCTTTATGTCGCACCTCCTTTGTACCCCTTCACCTAAAATTTGAAGAAGTCTCTCTCCATCACATCTTTAACAAAAACAATCAATCATCTCTAATCAAAATTTCCTGAAATGTAAACATTGTCAATGATGTGGGGTATAAGTTCACGGAAAAAATTGTGGTCAAGAATTCAAAAAAGAACCAAAGAGGCTAGTTTTTTTTTTTTTAGATTTGCTACAGAGATCCAAAATATGGGACCAACAGGAGAAACATGTGAGCTGTCCCCCTCCTATTGCATAATGAGCCCTGTTAGTCCCATATTTTGATCCTTGGGGAATTTTCCTCTCTTTTTTTTTTTGGTCTTTAACCACAGGTGTCACGACCTCACATGGGGACTAGCTTGCCTACCACTAGGCCAGCAACTTGTTCGTAATGAGGTTAGCAGATGGGAGTGTGATTATAACTTGTATCTGATTTAACATATGTTTGTATCTTTCTATTCTGTGAAATGTTTTTATTATCATCTTTTCAATGAAACCCCGGAGGGCTTAAGCATCATAGATTCTGTGGAAAAAAAAATCATCATCATCATCATACCTTGGTATATAGTGTGAGTTCACAACCCAACAACTTAACTTTTGGGTAAAGTGATCCTTTATACACAATATGTTGAATAATCTATTAAGTATTGACTTTATGCTAATCGACTAAGATTATATGTTACCTGTCTGCGGTTTCTACAGCTAATTCTAGATAGTACTTCTCATTAGATGACTTGCACCTGTAAAAAATTTTTCAGGTACTTCTCATCAGATGACTTGCACCTGTAAATTTTTTTCAGGTACTTTTCATCAGATGACTTGCACCTGTAAATTTTTTCAGGTACTTCTCATTAGATGACTTGCACCTGTAAAAATTTCTCACTTTTTTCAAGCAATTAGACTCAGATTAAATCGACTTAATTATCCAAAGTCTTCAATGTGCTTCAGCTTTGTGACCATCTTTAGCCGTTTTTCTTTATCTTTTTTTGTTTTTTCCCCCTTTCCTTTTCATGGGACCTTATTTCTATAGATTTTTCCCTCTCTGTGTTGAAATCATGTGTTAGTGCACTGGAAACAGAAGTGGGTTTACTTTAATCTACCTTGTTCATATATTATTACTATACTCATCCTATAAAAAATAAGCCTTAGCTGTAGTATAAGATATAAAGGCCTAAGATTTATATCTGTGATATAAAGGTCTAAGATTTATATCTGTGATATAAAGGTCTAAGATTTATATCTGTATATTTCTTCTTTTCCATGTTTTTTTTTTATTTTTGTTATTATTATTATTATTATTTTGTGTGAGTATGACGATGCTTTAAAGGATTTTTACGGTGAGATTTTTTGAACTTTAGCCAACCATATATATCCATCTAATTAGCTTTTACGGAAGTGGATGTGGTCCTCTTGAATTTGATTATAAAATTAAGTCTTAGTAGAAAAGCCGTGCTAATCAACGACAATTAGAGCGATAACGATGAATATTCAAATTTTTGCCTCCTTGATAATGAAAGAAGAACCAATGTTTGTGCTTGTTGACATGACAAAAAAAAAGACTAGATCAATCTTCTACTGTCTCATTGACAGCCATCTATGAATCAATGCACAAGTTAAATTTTTGCCTCACATTTGTGTGAATTTGGAAGGAACATTATTTCTACTTTTATGAAGACATTTAGAAAAAGCAAAGATTGCATCTTGTCAATTGATAATTGGGAGGCAAGGAATCCTCTCGAGTAGCATGTTGGGTGGTTTGGATCAGCAAATAACTTATTTTAAACAAAGAAAAGACTACGAGAACCTTTAGTCCTAATTTATTTTTGAGGGTCCTTATTCTTAATAATTTTGAGGTGGGGTTTGCAAGAAAATGGACATGATGATCCTTTTGATGGAGGCCCCACAGGGATCAGTGTGCTTGTGGCTGACAAGGGTACATAATTTCTAATGCAGCATCTAAATCCTTTTGAATCATCACAATCGTATTATAGGTCTGCAGGAATTGGAACCAGATTGCTTTGATAATCTCATAAAATTGCTATCAACCTGATGCGAGAATTCAGCCATATATATATATAATATATATATATATATATATATTTATATATATATATATATATATATATATATATATATAATATATATTAATTTGGTTTAGACATAACTATAGAGAACCCCCCCCCCCCCACACACACACACCCAACCCCCAACCCCAACCCCAGGTCGCCCATACGGTTTGTAGGGTTGTACGAACATATTTTTCTATATGAATTTTTAATTTGAAAGACAAGCTCTTAAGTTTGGATCAATAGTGTCCTCATATGGGATAAGAGTTGTGTAACTCAACTCAATTAGAATTCTGTCAACAAAATGGTATCCATCTCTAAGAAAGAAGCACTGCACTCTATTCTTCAGATTTCAACTATCAAATAATAACCTGGCAACAGGGTTTAATGCATCATTTCACACAGATTAGCACAATCAATCCTCAAGCCAGCAAAATAACTGAGTCAATGTTTCCACATATATTTCATACAAATCATTCTTGGACAATATGATACAGACATGTACCCGCTTTAGAGAAATGAATTTTTCAAAAAACTCTCATCTCTCAAACAAAATGCAGCCAAAGCACTAACAGATATACATGCTTTTTTAGCCTGCCAAAAAAATGTTGCCCCAAAAAGAAGTCTAATGAAAAAAAATACACTTGAACTAGCCGATAGTATACATGTACTCACCGTGAAAAGAATGAAACCAACAAACATATATTTTCTTCTTTTTTTTTTTTTTACATCTGATTCTTTTTTTCCTCTTTTCCCTTAAAGTCATCAAAATTATGATGACCTTGTCTTTCTCTCATACTTTCAACTGTGAAAGACTGATCCAATTTAAACCCAGACAAATTCTTCCAAAAGATCATCCTCTGACATACCCTTAGATGTCTCTTCTACCGTCTCAAGATCATCTCCTGACAAAAAAAAAAAAAAATGCAAACGAACATGCCTTTCCTTAACATTCTGACTCCATCGATCCTTTTCTTTTCCTTTAAAGTCGTTGACCTTGAGATGGCCTTATAGACATTTCAAGCACGACTTTATTCTCTACTGGTACTCAATATTAAAAGATCGAACACAACCTCTTCCAAAAGATCATCCTCCAACATACTCTCAATCTCTCTTCCTATTGTCTCAATATCATCTCCGACATCTAACCACCTTGGATCCAAGAACTTCTCCTCTGGTTTTGGTCGACTTAATTCTTTTCGTTTTCTGACCAACATTTGCCACACCTCTTCAATGAGCCTATCACCTACCAGCTCAAGCTTTCTCCCTGAAGAGAGGATCTCGGTTAGACTGGAGCTAATGAGATCATCCAGTAACCTTCTATCTAATCTAGACCATTCTACAAGCAGCCCATATTTCCCTTCAAGCTTTTCAAACACATTGAAGTCCACTGAATGCTTTGTAGAGCAAGAAGTACTCAAAAGAATATCTTGATCTGCACCATAGATGCCCAAATTGATAATATCGACTAGGTATGAATAGTCTCTGTCTTCTTCATTTTTATACGCCAATAGTATCTCTCCAATGCAATCCTCACTCAAAGCAGGAGTTTTACATTCTCTGTTGTATTTATCTGATTTCAACCTGAGAAGATGCAGTTGCATTCGGAGTTCTACAAGAAAATAGAGTAGTTCGGCGGAGTTCAGATTTTTGCATGAAAATGAGTATTACTACAAGAGAAATGGAGAAAGCACATTGCTTTAATTTACCTTGAAGACCGGCACTGGCCCTCCCGAAATAGTGTGGGTTTGACAGGCCTTCATTTGATGAATGCTCAAGGACAGAGACAGGGCTTTGTTGCTCAGCATCTCTGGAGCTTGTCATGGAGTCAGATCCTGATTCACTACACTCAGAAGGAGCAGAATCTAATTGAAGATGCCTTGGTAATGTGTCCTGGAGATTTAGCAAAGAAAAATTTCAACAAAATCAAATCTTAGAGTAAAAGCAGCAATTAGAATTAAATTTTCTCCCAAATTGATGCGCAGGAAGATAGATGAATCCTATCAATTAAAACATTTTAAAGGTCAAGGTACAATTGATATCCAGGAGGAAAAAAAGGAAGAAAATTTGGAGAAATGTGAATTTTTGTATTTCATGTTGTAAAGAATAAGAAGAGATAGGGTAGAGGATTGGAGCAAAGAAACAAAATGAAATAAGTTAATTACAAGGATGCCCTGTTTAAACTTTAGGTTAATCTACAGAACAAAATATTAGGGAAATTGAACCTTACAATTTCACACGAGAAAATGGGTGTGAAGCATGCACATACGCCTGTGTGTACAAGTATTTATTTAAGGTGATATTTTCAGGAGAATAATTAAGGAGAGTTTGCATTATCTGAAGTCTCATAAACAGTTTCGTGGTATGAGAAGGAGTAATCACTCTTAAATTGAGCTCAGAATTTCCTGCAAGTTCCCTGATCTGATGATCAAAGTTCAGAAACATGTTCCGGTTCTATAAGATGCGGGTAAACAGAAAATAAATCAGGACAAAGGAATAAAGCAATAAAAAGGTGAGAAGAATATCATCTGCAGTATCGGCCTGATTATCACAAAAACAACAGCGATGCCTTAACGCTATTAAAATAAGGTTTGCGAACAACCAGTTAGGACATGTGTCTAAGATTGTCAAATATCAAAAGATGTTTGCAGAAAAAACAATCATAAATTACATAAGCAAAATGTTCAAGAATTCTGTTCAACCCCCCGCCCCCCAAAAAATAAATAAATAAAAAGAGAAAGGCAGAACCTACCTAGATGCACTTTCTTGTTGACATTTTCTCTATCATTTATAAGACTAATCTGCTTTTGGCTGTGTTTAAACCTTTCATTATCTTTTGTTGGTAAATAAGTAGTTTTAGATTTGGAAGGACTAAAATTACAAATTTACACGAAATTTCCAACACAAATTTTGCGACCCAATGAATGCTTGCTTCTCAGTTGAGAAGGTGGAATAGCTAAGCGATGATTCAAATGCAGAGAAGTGTTTCATTTTTGCAACGGAAATTCTCCAAATTTGAAGAAAACAGCTTAGATTATTATAGGTTTTGACTTGGCCATGCAATAACAAAAGTTTGAGGAATGGAAGGACAACATTAGAGACTTGAAAAAAATTAATCTTTTGTAAGCATGAGACATACACAGAAAACATATATGTGCTACATTAGAAATGAAAGAAAAGGACATAAGGTTCAAACCTTATTTCTACTAAAAGGCATTTAACTTCATGCTTATAAAAAGGTCATAAACAAACCTCTATAACTCCATCCATATAACCAATAGCAGAAGATTCCCACTTCTGTGCTGGTTGCTCTACATTTCCCTCACTAGTTGTGGATAGCATTCCTACAGTCAATGATTCTGTGACTAAAGAACTGTCAATCAGGTGACTGGAGCTGGCAACAAATTCTTCAGAAAACTTGGAAAGTATATGCACTTTAGAAGAATCAGAAACATAAATCTCATTCCTCTGTTCTTCCTGATTAACATGAATCTCTATTACAGGCAGCTTATTTTCCTCCCCACTTGGACTAAGATGAGGCTTGTAAGTTTGAAACTTGAAGCTCTTTCTTGACGATCTTCGTCTCGGACTTAAGGTCCCTAGGGAAGACTCAACCTCTCCCACGTTGAGGACATCTTTAAGCGTATAACTGCTATCACCATCAGCAACATGCTGTCTGCTTGATTTAGGCATGCCATGAACAGGTGATGAAGCTGAAATAGATGGGGATCTGGGCAGATTTGTAAAGCATTCTTCCATCAGGCCATCTCCACTGCTAACGCCAAAAGAGTGAAACTGTTCATCTGAAACTTTCTGTACTTTAACTGATTCCAGATTCTCCTTTGGAAATTTTCTGTCAGATATAGCACTCATTTCACCTGAAGTGCTTGAGCCTCCACCAACACATTTTGCCTCATTCGCCTTGGTCATCCTCCATCGTTCAGATAGGCGTTTTCTGGCCTCCCTGCCAAAAGATGATTCACTTGAACAAGAACTTGAGGGGCTTGAGGCTCTACTCCAGTAATCAAAGTTGTCCAGATTCCGTTGAAATCTCCCAAATTTGTTCGAGTCGTGCATGCCTGCAAGTGCACATGAGCTGTCATCCTTTGTGTGTCTGTTGAAGCTAGAAAACAGCATCTTGTCTGAACAACTATTTAATGGGCATTTCATTTGTTTTCTGATTTCTCTAGCAATTCCTCTTGAACCCACTTTTCTCTGTGACATCACTTCCATATTATCAAACAAATTCCATTGCTCCCTTCCTTCAGCAAATGATTCTTGAATTCCAGACTGCTGAAATTCCCTATGCCTTCTATAGCCACATGGATATTTCTCATGGGAAGGATGAGAAACACTTCTTCCCATATTTTGGGTCTTTCCCAAATTGGGCTTTAGAACAGCTACCCTAGAAGATCGAACTTTAGTATTGGTTTTTCCATTTCGTGATTTTAACAATTTATATGACAGAGAAACACTGTCTTCCTTATGCAGGTGATTGAAGAGGTTGGTAACTGGCTTTCTTGATGTACTTATAGCATCTTTTTGCATTTGAGTGCAACTCCCATACTTTACCTCTGATCTACATGATACATCATCAGTTTCACCTGTTTTACTTTTTGATGCTCTTAATATTGTGATGTGGTCTTCACGTTGAGCTGGTGGACAAGTCTTCAGATTATGTCGATCACTTGTGAACAAGGAATTGGGCTTGTCTAGAAAGTCTAGAAAAAGATCTTTACTTGAATCAAGCACTTCTATTGCATCGTTGAACTCTTTGGAGCCTTGAAGAGTTTCATCAGTTGAGAGACGATTTGCTTCCACCATAAACTTTTGCCTTACAAAGGACATGTCTGTATTATCTTTGTCTAAATGTGAATCCCGCTTAACACCAGGCTGATTTGTTTGTTTCTCAGCTCTTACTGGATCCCTGATTTCAGTGACATCTTGGAATGCTCGGTGCTCATTGCTTCTCTTCCCAGATGAATGGATTTTAGGATATCTGTATGTTGGTTTCGGTAAAGAATGTCTAATCCCCGGTTGTTTGAATATCTTTGGAGGCGGGGATGAATCAAGACCCATCAGTTTCGCAATTACACTTTGTGAGGACTGGCCAACTTTTGTTTCCATTGACGTCTCTTCATGTATTAGTGATTTGATTGTTCCAGTAACCTTCTTAGATGAGCATCTCTGCGACTCAGAGGCAACCTAGAGATATTAAAAAAAAGCATGCATTTATCATCTAACAAAAAAGTTATAATGTCCAATTGCAAAAAATTTTAAAAAAAACCAAGAAACAAGAAAATTTTAATTACTGTTCCAGAAGCACGAGGGCAGAACAAGAAAAATGAAACATAGTGAGTATTTTTCCTACATATCAGCAGCAAAATTGGGGAATTTTTAGCATGTATGTTTAAATGAAGTAATAAGAAAATCAGCCAGTAGAAAACTTCATATATTATTACCGAAAGACAAACTGAGACTAGAGAGGCACTTGTGACTTGGATATATTGATAGTTTTAAGACAACCCTGATATCTTAGTAGATAATTAATGCTATGAGAACCCATACCGGGCGTCCTTGAAGTGGGGATTCATTATGATTAATAGAATTTGAAGCAATCTTTGAAACACTCGTACTGTTTCTTGACCGTCCACCTTCTGAAACAGAATGATCACAGTATAAGATAAAGTCCCATGAATAATAAGCAAACTTAAACCTAACAAGACCTATGATAAGTAATTTCATCTAGAAAACTAATTCAAGTGGTTTACCTGAAAATTTGAAATACATTAAAATAACTTTCTGAAAAAAGACAATCAGCAAGCAATAGTAAAGTAAATCACAAGCTTGCCACATTTTAGCGAGTTAACTTAAAAGGCTTCAATAGCTTCATTTGTAGAGGCCATGCAAAACGCACATATTTCTTCGCCAGTCAATGTTTAACAGAACGTAGAAATCAGTGAACCTGATATTATTATTCCAAATGTCGTCACATAATTGCCTTTAGGAAGCCACACTCAAATATAGGAACAGGCAGTTATTAATTTCACTTTTTATTTTATTTTTATTTATTTTGTGTGTGTGTGTTGGCCTTCTTTTTTTTTTCTTTTTTTTTTTTTTGGGGGGGGGGGGGGGGGGGGTGGGGGTTGTCTTCCTTATGCAGGTGATTGAAGAGGTTGGTAACTGGCTTTCTTGATGTACTTATAGCATCTTTTTGCATTTGAGTGCAACTCCCATACTTTACCTCTGATCTACATGATACATCATCAGTTTCACCTGTTTTACTTTTTGATGCTCTTAATATTGTGATGTGGTCTTCACGTTGAGCTGGTGGACAAGTCTTCAGATTATGTCGATCACTTGTGAACAAGGAATTGGGCTTGTCTAGAAAGTCTAGAAAAAGATCTTTACTTGAATCAAGCACTTCTATTGCATCGTTGAACTCTTTGGAGCCTTGAAGAGTTTCATCAGTTGAGAGACGATTTGCTTCCACCATAAACTTTTGCCTTACAAAGGACATGTCTGTATTATCTTTGTCTAAATGTGAATCCCGCTTAACACCAGGCTGATTTGTTTGTTTCTCAGCTCTTACTGGATCCCTGATTTCAGTGACATCTTGGAATGCTCGGTGCTCATTGCTTCTCTTCCCAGATGAATGGATTTTAGGATATCTGTATGTTGGTTTCGGTAAAGAATGTCTAATCCCCGGTTGTTTGAATATCTTTGGAGGCGGGGATGAATCAAGACCCATCAGTTTCGCAATTACACTTTGTGAGGACTGGCCAACTTTTGTTTCCATTGACGTCTCTTCATGTATTAGTGATTTGATTGTTCCAGTAACCTTCTTAGATGAGCATCTCTGCGACTCAGAGGCAACCTAGAGATATTAAAAAAAAGCATGCATTTATCATCTAACAAAAAAGTTATAATGTCCAATTGCAAAAAATTTTAAAAAAAACCAAGAAACAAGAAAATTTTAATTACTGTTCCAGAAGCACGAGGGCAGAACAAGAAAAATGAAACATAGTGAGTATTTTTCCTACATATCAGCAGCAAAATTGGGGAATTTTTAGCATGTATGTTTAAATGAAGTAATAAGAAAATCAGCCAGTAGAAAACTTCATATATTATTACCGAAAGACAAACTGAGACTAGAGAGGCACTTGTGACTTGGATATATTGATAGTTTTAAGACAACCCTGATATCTTAGTAGATAATTAATGCTATGAGAACCCATACCGGGCGTCCTTGAAGTGGGGATTCATTATGATTAATAGAATTTGAAGCAATCTTTGAAACACTCGTACTGTTTCTTGACCGTCCACCTTCTGAAACAGAATGATCACAGTATAAGATAAAGTCCCATGAATAATAAGCAAACTTAAACCTAACAAGACCTATGATAAGTAATTTCATCTAGAAAACTAATTCAAGTGGTTTACCTGAAAATTTGAAATACATTAAAATAACTTTCTGAAAAAAGACAATCAGCAAGCAATAGTAAAGTAAATCACAAGCTTGCCACATTTTAGCGAGTTAACTTAAAAGGCTTCAATAGCTTCATTTGTAGAGGCCATGCAAAACGCACATATTTCTTCGCCAGTCAATGTTTAACAGAACGTAGAAATCAGTGAACCTGATATTATTATTCCAAATGTCGTCACATAATTGCCTTTAGGAAGCCACACTCAAATATAGGAACAGGCAGTTATTAATTTCACTTTTTATTTTATTTTTATTTATTTTGTGTGTGTGTGTTGGCCTTCTTTTTTTTTTCTTTTTTTTTTTTTTTGGGGGGGG